GTTAATACACTTCTATATTTTAGGATCCCTCTTTTTCCCTTGTGTATGTGTTAATAACTGAATAATTAGTGATATGAAATGTTATTTATCTATGCAATAGAAAAAGTAATTAGCATTTCATGATTTTTCTAGTTTTCTCTCGTTATGGATAATTTACCTTCTGCTGTACAAAAATATGTTTAAATGAATTATGAAATCAGTTTCACTGAAACTCTCTATGAAAAGTAATGAGAATTCTTCTTAAACAAGTTAAAAATTAAAAAAAAATCAGTCGATCTATGAAATTAAGCATCGATTTTCTCCACTGATTTATATCTTTGTAAGGACTAAGATCATGTATATTGTCAGTTTTATTATCATAATAATATATCCGTACAATAACTATGGACAAAACTATAACACAACATATCTATTTCATCATTATAAAAACTAAAATACAGACTAATTATTGTCATTTTAAGATAAATAACTTTAGAGATAGTACAAATTCATTAGTGAACATAGATATTTCCTCAATTTTTCTTCTTACACAAACCTCTCAATATCGAATATCAATGATTAACGAGAAGAGAGGTTGAGAATTAATTATGGAATCTTAAATCTGAACAAACTATGCATTTCACCGTACGCATTTTGAAAATATACATAAAATTGAAATTCATTTGGTCAGTTCTACTAATGTAGTTGATGTTTATTCCCTAAGTAATTTTTTGAGAGAACCTAACAGTTTGTGCATAGATTTCAATTGACTATTTTATTGTAATCAATTTCCTGTTTTTCTGATTTTATCAGTATAGGGTTGTGGAAATTATTAAGTTTTTGATTAAGATCATGAACCGATTGATGTTAGGCCACCATTGAAAACCTAGAAACACTGAAAGACTGTTTCGTCCTATTGTGAGACTCCTCATCAGTGCTCACCCACTCACTAGTGACTAGCTTCATAAGAGGATTCTCGGAGTTCTAGTGAGAAGCCACAACCAGTAAAGCTAATCCACTTCGGGTAGTGACAGGTATCTACTTAGTACAATGAAAGATGGTCGGGCAATTTCGCGGATTGGTTGAGGTTAAACATTAACACTGTTCGATTTCGACTCAGTGATCTAGTAGGTTAAGCGTATAACAGCTCACGTGAAATTGCGTTTGTTCACAAATAATTCGACTAAGTCATTTTGTTAACTTAACAACGAACTGAGTCATCCGTACAACAACAACAACTTATCTATATCATTGTATCTTTATTATTGTTGCTAATGTATGAACATGTATGCTTTAGCATTGCTTACTGCCCATGCATTTATTCACGCTACTAGCCTTACAACTAACCGCTTAATTGATTTGATGATTCATTCATTTCACTATGTATATATATGTCCATGTTATTCATATTCACTGCTCTCGCTCTCGCTCGTTTAATTGTACGCGCTTGCTCGTATTCATATTCGCTGACTCACTCGCTCGTTTGCTTACCTTTCGGCACAACTCTTCTATGCTTGTTTACCGCATCTGTAATTTTGGATATCTGTGTGTGGTCTCGAAATAAACGGAATCAACGCTTCGTATTCGCCTTCTGATTAACATACCGGCCACCACAAACGTTCGCGTGGGTGACTGAAGGTTTTGGTTTGAATCCCGTGGGCGAGATCGTGGGTGCGCACCGATGAGGAGTCCCAAAGTAGGACGAAACGGCTTTCCAGTGCTTCCAGATTTTCTGATTTTGTCGCATGTTTTTTCATTCACATTTATTGACGATAACATTTTTATTGATTCTGAGAATAATTTTTTTTAAACATGATTGAATTTATTGTTTTGTCAATAAATTTTTATGGTTGCCAGTATCTTTTGACATTAGAAAATATAAATAGTAACTATAATCTAGGGTAATGTAAATCAATTGTGAAATAATTGGAAAATATTGACAAATTATTCGACTTAGTTTTGTTTGTTTATTTTTTTCATCATCTGACAGAATTTTACATGTTATAAAGAACATTTATATAAATGGATATATTCCAGCTTTTCACTACTGTTTAAGAAAGAAGTTCATTAATAGAAAAGACTAGATATTCTAAAACTGTTGCAATTTCTTTTTTCATATTATATTTTATTATTAGAGAGGGGTTTTGTGGGTTGGTTGAAGTTAGACATTAACATTGTTAGATGCCGACTATCTCAGTGATCTAAAGTTTAAGCGCTCGTGTGCGAGATTGGTAGGTCCTGAGTTCAAATCTCGCGGGCAGGATCGTAGATGTACATTGCTGAGGAATCCCATACTAGGACGAAATGACCGTCCAGTACTTCTAGGTTTCCCATAGTGTTCTAGCTTCAAATGACTCATGAATTTACTTATTACATATGCTATTATTGATTAGTAAATGATTTAGTTTAATCCAATGAGTAGGTTAGAGTTAACTATAGGACTTTTGGTTAAAATACTAACTAATCTCATTTTATATTAAATTTGAATATGTTTTTCATAACGAAATAACATCAACTGAAAACTATCTTTACTCATAGAAAACTTAATATTCATTTGATATGAGTTCGAGACTCTTATGAAGGATACACATACACGACAACACACGCCTACGGCCTGATACCAGAAAAATCCATACAATGAGACTGAGAACAACCTAATGGGTAGACATAATGTGTAGCATATAATCATCTTACCAGTCAACACTCCAAATATGTAAATATCTTATCGAGTAATTCCGTTTGACAAATAATCCACATACGTTTTAATGAACAAACCAACCAAGTGGAAGTTCAATACTATATAGATATTGTTGCCTGTTTATCTATTGTCTTTAGGTGCAAAATAAATTTGTTTTGATGTCGTGTTCTTTTTATTTCTGACTTATGAAACTGTTATGTTAAATTACTCATTTTCTCCCCCATAAATTGAATATCATTTTTTGTTATATACACTAGGAATTTGTTATAGCTTTAAGTTGCGACCGATTTTTACCCTGTGCTAATTGTTGTGTCCTTGACTGGAAAATTAGAGAGCAGCGTACTTATCGATCGATTCAATGACACGTAAACACGTACGGACGGCCTAGAGTCTCGATTGGTCTCACTTCCCTGTCTAGCCCAGTCAGTTGAGTCCAGAACACAAGTCACAGCCTCGGAGATATGAATCATTGTATTTCAGACATGCTCTATTTATATACCAAACAAGCAAACCACATCATACCATAAAAATAGTAAACAACATTTACACAATATGTAATGAATGAATTAAATAATAGCCAATAGGGAATGTACATTTAAAGTCCAAGGCCACCATAGACATAACATGACAATGATTGGCATATCATTCTGTATCCACAACAGAATTATTTCCTAAATCAAACATTTCTAAGTTCCATTCTTAATGAAGTAAAATTTATATCACAAATAAGCTTTAGCTTGACAACCACTGGTAAACAAGGAGAACAAGTTAATAGTTTCATCCTATACCCATATACTGAAGATCTTACAAGAATAACAAAATGAAAATTTTTACATCACGTGGAGATCATACCTTCTGAGCAATCATTATACTGTCGAAGTAAAGTCATTTCTAAATATTGGTCTTTCATTATTAATGGTTACCTAGATAAAATTTGTTCATGCCTACATTAAACTAATCAATAATCTTTAAAGTTATCAAATTCACTTTGTAGCATTACGAAACATAAAGATAGAGAAGTTTTCTTTGTATAATTTATTAGCCTTAACGGAAAATAGTGATATTTGAATATTACCATACGATCTGTTAAAATCTACTTCCATACTAAATAGTCAACATTTCCATGATGTACTGTGAAGTAATGGTGATCGATATTAACTTGATAACTCCAATTAGAAATTGGTGACAAAATGAATTTATTTAAGATATTTAGAGCTGTATTGTGACAACTTAATATTTTATATCTAAAATATATATTAAGTGAACAATATCTATTACAGAAAGCTTCATCTTTGTGGTTCACTTGAGTACCTGTTACTAAACTCGGCTTTGAATCACATTGTCTTTACGTTAGTGACAATTAACCTATATGGCTATCTAGGTAAAAGTAAGTGTGGTGTAACTGGAATTACAAACAAGGAATTAGAAGCTACCTACCCTAACTATTCATAAAAAAAATTATTAATAACCATAACTTCGACTAGTCCATACATACAGCTTAAATTCTAGATCCGATTACTGTAATTCTTTACTAATTCATCACAGTGTAAGCTTAATTCTAATAGTTCAATTTTACTATTCCATAAATGATAATCTTGATCTCATCATGCAATTCATACATTTCATTTATTTATTCATTTCTCTTAATTTTATTCCAACATTAATGTCATTTATTTGGTATACATTTTCCGGAGCGCTGTTTAACTTAAACATTTTTATTTTATTTTTCTACGTTTCTAATTCTTTAATATTTTGTCTTTTTATCTAACTACTTAAAGCTATTACTTACTTACGTCTGTTACTCCTAATGGAGCATAGGCCGCAGACCAGCATTCTCCGACCCACTCTGTCCTGGGCCTTCTTTTCTAGTTCCATCCGATTCTTGTTCATTTTTCTCATGTCTATTTCTATTTCCACTTAAAGTTACACTTTCTAATAAATAACACATGAAAGTACTTTTCAGGTATGATACTAAAATGAAATGAAGAAAAATTGCTCTGTAATCGATAATCAATTTGTACAAACCGTTATCTTAGTTAGTTTCTTTTTTTTCCCATAGTCATTCCATCTGACAAAAAAAAATTTCATAAGACATGTTAATGAAAATTTCTATTCTCCAATTTTCTTATTTTCCTGTTTCTTAGTCATATGCATAGATTAAATAATTTTATTACTAAGGTGGGATGGACAACAGTGGTTTTATATTAGAACTTTTAATAATTATTAAAAGATTTCTATAGAAAATAAAATACCACAGTCTATGTGTGTATGTGTGTGTGTGTCGTGCTCCCACACAGAGAGATTTGATTTAAAGAAAAAGATCAAGATCATAAAAAAAATATTACAACTATGATGATAAATATGATATCTGCTAAAAATATGAAACATAACATTAAAATATATATAATCCATAACGAGTAACCATTCAGAATACAGGCAAAATTTCCAATTTCTTATATATATATATGTATTGACCAATGAAATTGTAGTAATTGAAGGGCTTATTCATCCAACCAATAGGAAAACAGTATGAGGATAATTGTAATCTGTAATGTGAATAATCATTAAGAATCATTTAAACAATTATTATCTCTATGATCATATACTAAATAACTTTAATTATTTTTGTTTTTGTTGTTATCAAGGCTCAACTACTACACATAAATCAACATATATTCATTTGAAATTATATACTGAATCATTAAAATCATTATCAAATTTAAAGAAAACTAGTAGTTTGATCCCAAATGATCCACAACATATTTTATATGAAAAAGATTTAATTCTATTAAATGATCAATTTGATTTCGTTACAAACTATTCTAATAAAAAGAAAGAAATATCATTTCAAATTCAATTGAATATTGAATATATTCAATTTCCAATTGTATCTACTCATTTATTTCAATCAGTATTATTAATAATTCATATTAAAGATTGTTTTACTGATTATTTATTAAGTACATTGTTGAATGCACAAAACAATATTCCATTGTCAAAATTAATAAATGTTAATCAGAATAATACGATTATGTTAAAGGAATCTTTATCAAATCATATAGACTCATTAAGTGCTGATAAAATGCATTTACCATTTGTGATTACATGTTTAATTATTGGTCTTTCTTATATTATACTTTTAACGATATATACCATTTTAAAAATATGTCAAGGATCTAATAAATTCCATACAGACAATCTAATTCATAATTCAACAAATTATATATCAAATAATGAAACACAACAGAAACATTATTCATCATTTTCAGCTTATTCTACAACTTTATTAAATAATTATCATAGGACAAGTTCACAATCTCAATTAGCTCGTTTAACATGTCCTCAAAAAGTTTGTATTATGATCTATTTATGTTTTCGGGTATTTTATACTTTTCTGTTCACTATCAGTGTTGGATTATCATTTATTTTAAGCATTGAAACTGATGCTACTGTGGAGTTTACTTCAGCAGTACATAATAATCATTTTATTACAATGAATTCATTTAATAATTATAATGGAAATATTGGTAGTAGATTAATTCTGCCATCAGTGATGAATACAATGACGTTGACAACGGATATAGGTAACAGATGGCGTGGAGCTAAAGTATGGGTATTAGAAGCTGCTAGAATGGAGGATTTTTCTCAAACTGAATTATTAAGACAGGTAAGTATAATACTGGCGAATATTTCATTGATAACTTTATGTTTATATTTGCTTAATAGTGAATGTGACTTTTAATCGAATTGGCTTCGTGATAATAAATTAACAAATAGTAATATCAACCAATTCTTATTATTCAGACTACTTTGGTTTATACCTTTATTTTTCCGAACTAATTCTTTCCTCGTGTATTACATCTTTATACCCAATCTTTCTTTTATATAATACCGCCATTAAATTAACTACTTCTATGAACTTCGTGTTTATCTTGTTGTGTTAATGAGGTGTGGCAACTTGGACCGATTCATATATGTGCCTGGTCGTAAGCTGTAGCTGACTGACTGACAGGCTGAGATTATTTTGCTCAAAGTATAAATTTGTCCTTGTATATTTTCATCAAGGTTAATTACCATAGATTTTGATTAGATTACTTTTCATAAAATGGCGAGACTATAATTTGTAGACGAACTAATCACGTATAAGATAACAGTTCTCGAATTTTGGAGCGAAATTCACTCATCTATTTGGATAAATAGATTTTTGGCATTATAGCTGATATCAGTTTATGATGAAAACTGTAAATTATAATTCTAGTTCCTCACACAGATTTGTAACCCTCATATGGTCCTGGTTATTAAGTGGACACTGTCAAGGTTCGTCGAGCGTCGCTCAAAGGTCATCCACAAATTCTAGTCTCACCAATAGAATTTGTATTATATTAAAGTTCATTTTACTGTTTATAACACACAAGTTACATTGAAAATCATGTTATATTTGATATTAATATGATTCAGTATGATGACATTTTTCTTATTAAAACTAGGCTTTTGAAATTCAGTTTCATTTCTCGAGAGAATGAAATATGATATACCCTCATTTAATGTTTATCAACTTTTATTATCCTAAACTATTCATTTGGTTGAGAACTGGACTACTAGCTCGATTTAAAATCTGCTATAAATTATATATTAATTACGAGGTGTCTTTTTTTAACTTAGTATTATTATTATTATTATTATTCAAAACGTGAATGGTTTTAGATGGTCGTCGATATGAGAGAATCAGTTTTTGATTAACGTGCTTTCATATTTAGAGTCATTGGATTATCGAAATTTCAACATAGGAAATCTTTTATATGAAAACAAACGAACATTTATCTAATCGTAGAAAAGTTAGTACGAACTTCTGTTTTGAGACTGTAAAAAAATATAAAGATTTACTCAAATGTTTGAATAAGGTACCGGGTTTTAAAACACAATTAATATTATGGAGGAGCGAAGTATAATTATACTTTATTATAGCCTACTGCATATCTAGTATGTGAGTATTTCTTTCGAAGGTTGGTGCAAAGTCATTTTTTCAAAGAATCCTCGTTGTTATTTGTAATGTTTTAGGTTATTTTAAGTTCAACTATAAATGTTGTATACTCTGATGAAATATAATTTAAGTGCTTTTACACAATCTTAATAGGATTCAAACTTGAGGCTATAAACTGATTTTGTGGATAGTCTATAGCTATTAATAGTTACATAAAGTGTAGCTAAGTACCTTTGTCTGATTAAGTAGCTGTATCAAGTATAAGCTAGATCTCTGTTAATAATCACATCGCCTTATCAGTATTAATAAAAAGAATCAGACTAACATTTCTTAAAATCTAATTGACATACATTTTAGTACAAGAGGTTTCTAAACATGTTATAAATATTTCAATATTTCACATAAAATAAGATTGATTCACCAAAGAGTTCTCTTTTCGGTGAATTCATTTTCAAAGCTGTACAATCACAAATACATAAACTTATTTTTTCAGGATAATAATAATTACAGTGGTAATGATAATGAACTTCTGTTAAGCATGGTAACGATGTGGTAGAATAAAGAAAGGTATTAAAAAATCTTTTTGAACGAGAAAACTAATGATCGTTTTATTGTTAAGGGTTTGAATTCTCATCATAAAGATAGATAAGGAAATTATCATGGGGAAAGGATGGCTTAGCATGATAAGATAAAATGTTGAAATTGAGATGAAATGTAATCAGAATGATCAGAGAAACAGAAATAAACAAGTTAGGGGTAGAAGGTTTAAAGAGGAGATAGAAGAGAAATTAGATGGCTGTAAAGGAAGAAGAATATGAAGAAAAAATGCTATAGACATTAAAACCATGGTAGAAGAAGAGGTTGTACCAATCTCTTTTACATACATAATACAGGTCCTCCCATATGTATGGTTGTTACTTCGGCAATATTAAGAAGATGCAATATAACTGCCTTTGGAAGACTTCCACTTACCTTGTAGATGACTTAAAACTCAGAGTCCGTCTTGGTTGAGTGACCTGTTTTCACAAGATGTTCGATTATTGAACTTCTTATTGCGCCATTTCTTAGGCATGCCAGGTAATGTTGTTGAATTCTTTTGGATAAAGCACGCATTGAATGATCTATATAAAACTGAACAAGTAATATTAAATTCCTAAAATAGATAAATTGTTTAAATTTGAATGGCCTAGATATTTAAACGTTTCTAATTCTCTATTCTGAAATTCCTCATCGATTTTAAATTCACTGATTGAAATCATGAGTCAATTGAAGCTAGACCACCATGAAAAACCTAGAAGTACTGGACGGCCGTCTCGTCCTAGTATGGGACTCCTCAGCAGTGCGCACTCACGACTCAAACCCAGGACCTATTTCAAATAATTCAAAACAATTAAGATTTATATAAACAAATATTCCAATTTGTAAAATAAGCGATTCATTTTAAATAATAATAACTAAAACAAAAACTTTTGTAAAATGACCTACCACCTCCAAGGTTACACCTATATGCACAGTTAATATGTTCATTCAAGCATCAATTTGTACTTATTTGAATTATTGATGATTATTCAATATTGGAGCTAATGAAATAACAAATATGTGATACATCTGTTATGTTCGTTAACTTGAATGCTAATACTGATTCGTCTTACTCGGAACGGAACGAAGAATCAAGGATTCAGAGACTCGGTAGGTTATACTGGTCCGTTGTCCCCGACTCAACTAACTCGATCCAGAAGTCTTGGTAAGATGTAGAAAGTGTATTCTACAGACAACCAGAAGATACCATTTCCATCAAGCGTATTTATACAAAATATATATAATCGATATTGCCATAGAAGTTTTTAAACATTTAATCGATAAGTTCGTCAATCGACTATGTGCGTGGTTGGTAAGAAAGGCCCAAGCATACATCTGAATACAAGCCCCATAAAGATAAAATTACAAAATATGAGTTTTGGGGATCTAATGTCACCAACAACATCCTAAAAATAAAAAATAAGAAAAAAAACCTGACAGCAAACTAATTTTTTTTAGCCTCAAATTAAATTTTTTTTCAGTGACCACAACAACAAGATAATCTAATGTTTTTTCATTTGGTTATTCATTGTACCAAGTATTTAGAAGGAAAAAAAATTACTCATCACTTTAAAAAAAGTTATTAATTGTTATGTTTATTGTTATTATTATTGGTGTTACCATAGTTCTGAGTAAACATGCACACAAAACTACATTTTTTAAGATGTCGACTACGTATGTATGTATGTTATTGAATGCTAGTAGCCATATAATTGAAATTAATTCAACATGCAACCAATTCGTTGAATTATTAATGCATATAAATGTTTGTTTTTGTTGTTGTTCTTGTCATATTTTCTATCGTATACCTACTTGTATTACCTCATAATTTGCTGGTAGGATTATTGAGTTTTCATAATAAAACTAAGTAATAATAATAACAATACCAGGATTATTATTCTGGATATGTTTACGGGTAAAAACAATAACAAGACTATAATTAATGTTTTTAATAGTTGAATTGATGAGTCTATGTAAAGTTGACAACCATCAAAAACCTGGAAGCACTTGAAGCCGTGACCACTAGAGTCTGATCCGTGTCAGTTGGAGCCAGGTATCTACCTCAGAGAATGAATGAATAGTTGCTCGATATCATGGATTGACCAAAGTTAGACATTAACAAAGTTTGATGCCAACTGAGTGTTCTAAAAGTTGAGCATTCGAGCGCGAGATCGAAGGTCCTGGGTTCGAATCCTACGGGTCGGGATTGTGGGTGCGTACTACTGAGGAGTCCCATACTAGAGAGAAATGGCGTCTAGTGCTCCCATGTTTTCACGGATGACCAAGCTTACGTAGACTCATGAACTCAAATATTCAAATTACTACAATCTCCACAAACTCCCATTCCTATAATAATTAATGTGTCATTTATTATATTTGTAACTATATAAACGCTTGTTAAGTTCATGTTTATCCTGGGTCATATTTATCATTTGTTGCTGATTATTTTTTATTCAGAGAATTATAGACACCGAACATCAAACTTTACTTGTTCTTCCGTCTATAATGAGTGAATGAGTTTGTATTGAACTTGACAAAGTAAAACATGACACTTCAGGTATGATGTGTGACTGTAAAAAGAAACACAATTAATATCATATTTCCAACATTCTGATTTATATAACCTATTGAATGATCTCAGTGTTAACCTTATCCTTCATTTCTAACCACGTTTGATGATAATGAAATTAACAGCAAAAGATATTACATTTTGAATCCACTGGGAAAAAATCTTTTATCAAATATGCTGTTTTATTAGATGGCAGTAGCTGAATAGAAGTTCATAAACTCGACTTTCAGCTATACCTTTGACATAAATAAGTTTTCTATGAATCCAATATTTGGATGCTATAAACTTTAATCAATATATTAATGATTCTTGTCAGAATCTACATTTAATTTGCAAAACTTTTTATGTAACTTGTGTTTAGTTGGATAAAATTGTAGTGAATGAAAACACAAATGGAAACAATCGCATGTGTTTGTATTCAAAATTACAGAATCTCTTAGTAAAATCTGAGAACCAAACAGTGAATAGATCATTTGCAAAATGTCAATCGAGTTTCTCATACTTCTTTAATCCTTCATTTTCTTACCAATCACTCTTTGTTCTCGTTCTCTTCTCTTTGATCTTCTTCAACCTTCTGCCTTAAAGCACTTCACTTTCGATTAATGATACATGCTACTTATATCTGTCGACATCAGTAGCACACAACACAAAAGTTTTGCACGTTAATTTGAAATTTGTTTCTCAAACATTTATGACAAATATTAACAGACAAGGAAAATTTTACAGTGGGATTAGTGAAATGTTATTTTCACATTTTGTATTCACAATTGTATAACCCAAAAGAATTTCAAGTTCTTCGTTAAAATCATGTGCTGAAATTATGGATAGTA